AATACGAGCACAAAGATAATAAATATAATTTATTTTTATGTATTTCCATATGTATTCCAATCCCCAACCAACTTCTCTTCAATAATAAGTTTTAACAGTTTTGGAAATGTTCTAGAATCTTTCATGTAAAATCTTGCATTTATTTTTTTTATTCCTTTCTTAACACCTGTTGAACGTGAAAAAATACGTCTTCGACAGTTTCATAAGTCCAATGGTTACTTATGGATGCCAAACTTGATCATTGACAAAATCTCAAGAGAGAAAGATCCAGGTGTGGCAGAATGAGGACGAAAGATTTATTATGAATGTGAGGGAAAAGGACAGAGTGAGAAATGACTGGATCGAAAAAGAAACAGGACTCACAGATACCCTTAGGGGGACAAGAGTAAGCAAATGGAAATGGTCTGGGCATCTCCTGCCGGTCGAAGATAATATATAGTCAAGAATGGTCACATACTTGACTCTATTTGATCTGAAAATAAGAAGAGGACGTCAAAAGAAAATGTGGAGCACGGGCGGATCTACGGGGGGGCTTTCGGGCTGAAGCCCCCCCCCCCCTCAAAATGCTAAAATATAACCATGTTTTTTCGAAAAAAATATTTAAAAAGTATCTCTTAAAGTATTATTGTTCGTGAAATTACATTTACAAGGGCTTTAGGAATCACTTATACACCATTTTATATAGGTAGTTAGCTTCTTTCTTTTTTTCCAAAGTAATTATCGTTATTTTTATGAAAAAAAACCTTTCGGGCTGAAGCCCCCCCCCCCCCTAAATTAAATTCTGGATCCGCTAGTGATGTGGAGAAACGCGTTCAAGCGGTTGGCAGGGCCCCTTTGGTGAAGAGCTCCTAGAGACAAGGATGTCTGGGGGATCCCGAAGATGTACCTTATGAAACAGTTCATGGATTTCTTCAGTCTCGCTTCTAGCCTGGTAGATAGCCCTCCATAAACCAATCAGCTATAGTCAAAGTGGGCGGATATAAGGGAGGTTACAAGGAACTGTCTTGTTTTTAGAGGAATACAATCACGGAATCTCAGGATTTGTTTAAGGACAGTTATGGATTTTCGGGTAATCTGGGAGATGTGGTTTTCCAGGAGAGGTTCTGGTCAAAGGTTACTCCTAGGTCTTTGACTGTAGGGAAAAAATTGATGGGACGGTTTTTGCAGTAAAGTAGAGGGAAGTAAGGGAGGGAGCTAATGAGATGTCTGAATCCGATGAGAATAGCCTTAGTTTTATCTGCATTCAGCTTTAATTCATTTATTTCTGCCCATCAGTTGATGCAGTCGATCTTTGTAACTTTTGGGCAGCCTTAGGCATCTCAGAAGGTTGGAATGATTGGTAAATTTGGAAATCATCGGCATATAGGTAGTAACAGGAGTGTTGAATGGCGTCAGGAAGGTCACTAATATAAATAGAGAAAAGGGTCGGGAAGAGTGAGGATCTCTGAGGATCACCTCGTATTGGCAAGACATATTATTTTTTAATATTTATTCATATTTTATATTCTCTAACTATTCAGATTTAATAAAAGTCCAATCATGACGAAATTAAGCCAAACACTGAATTTCAGTGAACGAAAAACTAACTCAAGTCAAAGATGTCAATCCACCTTGTTTGGAAACCATTTTGGGACATTGCAGCTACTTTTTTTTGTGGGAACATTGGCTCTTTTTTGATCAATAATTACAAGGAACACAACTGTATGCAATTTATTGGGAGGTGGGGGAAGGGTGCACTTTAGGGGGGTCTGGTGGCCTAAATTAAAAATTACAGTTTAACAACTAAGTCCTACAATCCATAATCAACAGATCATACAATTCATAATCAACCATTGATATGACAAATAGGATTTTGTTATTTTAATGATATTAATGATTTGTTAGCTGTAAGCTTTAAGCTTTAGCTCGGTTAAAAATGTACTTCAAAACTATAATAGCCCAATATTGCCAGAAAATTATTTCTATTAAAAGTAGAGCAGTAGGTGAAAGTTGTGTATTGCACGCACCACATTTTTCTATTTACACACACATAACATTTAGTTGCTGTCCTTTTTTATAATTTAAAAAGAGAACATTTTGTGACAGTTTAAGGATTTGGCTCAATTCACTTATAGAAACCAATATGACCAACAAAATTTTTTTTCTTTTTGGGGGAGCAGAGAATACAGCCTGAAAGCCTCCCCTTAAATCTGAACAAAAACTAAGAAAGCTAATATAAGTTGACCTAGCAGTATCAATTGATTTCAATCTGCCAGTCATCTTCATTCAAGTAGCCTAAGCCTTAATTCACTCATGTTATGTCTGCATCGGCAGTTTCGACAAGTACACTCTATTTAGCATAAAGCAGCAATCTTTAGATAGCTGTTGGCCAAAACGACAAATTGCAGCTGGATTAATTCCTCCACTATTATAAGTACTTCAACATGTAAAAGATAAACATTTTTTTAATGCAATGCATTTTCTCAATTTCTCAATCTGCAATACATTTATTGACCAACATTTAGTTAAAAAAATCTGCATATAAAGGGTGTCCTGTGATTAGCGGGAAGTATTTAGAAGTCATAACAGACCTCAAGATCTACAAAAAAGTTTATATCAACAATGATCCGAATTTGAAAAGTTGAGATTTGTTTTTTGTTGAATACGAAACGATAACTAAAAAAAAAAAATTAACAATTACTCCATAGTTAACTAGACAAAATTGCTACAAATGAACATATTGATAACATTTGAAGTGATCTTTTGAGCTGCTAAAAAAAATTTAAACTAATTGCAATTATTTTTATCACTCTCCATCTACAGATTCTTCTCCTTCTTACTTTTAGAAAAACTTCCTCGATTAATAAGGTTTAATTCCATATGAAGTTTAGGTTCATCACAAGGAATTTCGAGTTATATGTGCCTTGATATCCTATCTCCTAAAAGTAAACGTCTCTTCAACAAAAATGAGTACAACTAACTATTGCAAAGCTTTAATTTTTTTTTTTTTTCCATGACCTGGGATGTATCATTGTAATTATAAATACACTTTTTATTTATGATTTTTCAAATTTTGTTTATCTAAAGTGATAATGAATTTGATGTAATGTATTTTTCATCATATCTCTAATATAAGAATTAATCTGTATTTTTAAGTGACAAACAAACTAAATGTTCCTAATCCTAATATCTAAGTTTAAAATATACGGAAGCTGCTGATTGCTTCAATTATTTCCATATAAACGTACTCACAGTGTTTTGTTTATTATGCCAATCCCTTCCAAGACTGTCAGGGATATTGTCATAATAATTCTGCTTTAAGAGCTGGTGATAATTTATTGCTGTGGACTGTATAATTAGAGGAGTTAAAGGATTAAAGAAGTGAATGAGTAAAATTGATTGCTATATTTTATTACATGTATAAGGAGGTTAAATATAGGTGGGTTGGGATACTTGCATTTTTTCTTTTTCTTGTTGTGCCGGTCTTCTCGTTCATCTTCCCTCTCTTCCTTTCTTGGCCCCTTGCCGGCCGCTGTAGTGTTTTACTCCATGTTTAATAAATCAGTGGAATCACAAAATTTTCAACTGGCCAGTCTAGTCAATCACGGTACGTGAGCGTCTACGCTTCAACAATGGCTGAGGTATATATGCAGCATAACAGCTGTGTTGTGCTTACTTGATTTAATTCAAATATCAAGTTTGATGTGTTCCCTAAACAAGCCGCCCACCTAATGTTTACTTTACTATGCCAATCCCTTCCAAGACTGTCAGGGATATTGTCATAATAATTCTGCTTTAAGAGCTGGTGAAAATTTATTGCTGTGGACTGTAAAATTAGAGGAGTTAAAGGATTAAATAAGTGAATGAGTAAAATTGATTGCTATATTTTATTACATGTATTTTATAAGGAGGTTAAATATAGGTGGGTTGGGATACTTGCATTTTTTCTTTTTCTTGTTGTGCCAGTCTTCTCGTTCATCTTCCCTCTCTTCCTTTCTTGGCCCCTTGCCGGCCGCTGTAGTGTTTTACTCCATGTTTAATAAATCAGTGGAATCACAAAATTTTCAACTGGCCAGTCTAGTCAATCACGGTACGTGAGCGTCTACACTTCAACAATGGCGGCGTCACAACAATGACTGAGGCATACATGCAGCATTTCCGAGATAACAGCTGTGATGTGCTTACTTGATTTGATTCAAATATAAAGTTTGATGTGTTCCCTAAACAAGTCCAATGAACGAGAAGACCGGCACAACAAGAAAAAGAAAAAATGCAAGTATCCCAACCCACCTATATTTAACCTCCTTATACATGTAATAAAATATAGCAATCAATTTTACTCATTCACTTCTTTAATCCTTTAACTCCTCTAATTATACAGTCCACAGCAATAAATTATCACCAGCTCTTAAAGCAGAATTATTATGACAATATCCCTGACAGTCTTGGAAGGGATTGGCATAATAAACAAAACATTTGGTCATCCGGCCCGGAGGACCAAATGTTTACTTTACTATGCCAATCCCTTCCAAGACTGTCAGGGATATTGTCATAATAAATCTGCTTTAAGAGCTGGTGAAAATTTATTGCTGTGGACTGTAAAATTAGAGGAGTTAAAGGATTAAATAAGTGAATGAGTAAAATTGATTGCTATATTTTATTACATGTATTTTATAAGGAGGTTAAATATAGGTGGGTTGGGATACTTGCATTTTTTCTTTTTCTTGTTGTGCCAGTCTTCTCGTTCATCTTCCCTCTCTTCCTTTCTTGGCCCCTTGCCGGCCGCTGTAGTGTTTTACTCCATGTTTAATAAATCAGTGGAATCACAAAATTTTCAACTGGCCAGTCTAGTCAATCACGGTACGTGAGCGTCTACACTTCAACAATGGCGGCGTCACAACAATGACTGAGGCATACATGCAGCATTTCCGAGATAACAGCTGTGATGTGCTTACTTGATTTGATTCAAATATAAAGTTTGATGTGTTCCCTAAACACACAGTATACAGTATAATTCATCAATTAAAATAAATAAGACACATTCAATAAAATCTTTGTGCATAATTTTTTATTGTGCTTAGATTCACAAATACAATTAATAAAAAATATACAATGTTAGACAGTAAATAAAGCGCAATCATAATTAATTTATTAATATACAAGGATAAATCTTTTAATCTCACATATACTTTTTTTTTTTAAATCCTATACAATTTGTACATAAGTTTTTAAAACATTATTCTCTGACTTAAAACAAAACTTGGGACTAGAACCCATAAAAATACTTTAATACCTATTTATTCTAAATAGGTTTACATCTCAAGACTTTCCAAATCATAAAGATTTGGATAACAATATTTGACCTCATCAAATAAACTGTGATGATTACTCGAGATTCTTTGCTCTATCACAGTTAAAAAAACAAACAAAATGAAATACTCATACAATAACAACCATAAAACTATAATATCATTTATTTTATTTTTTCAATCAGGCATCTTTGGTTGTTGCTATAGCCTGGATCAACCAAAGCTTAAGCATTCTTTTATTTTACACAATATCAAATTTTACGATACAAAAAATACAATAAAAAAGTTAAAAAAAAAAAAAGGAACAACAGTTTAACATTACAATGATCACTCAACAATGATAACAAAAATTTAGAATAAAATTACAAATCACTTAATTTTGATACCACAAACAAATGCTACAAAATTGACAACTTTGAAATCTTAGTTATACACCAAACATAGGAATATATTACAAACAAATGTTTTGTACTAAAAATTACATTTTATATAAGGGTATTTTGTACTTATGTTTTAATTCCAGAATTTCTCATATTATTCTTCTGGTAAATAAAAAATTAGAATCATAAAAATATATTAAACATTCCTTACAGTTACTAAATATTAGTTGACAAAAATTATAAATCAAATCAATATATTACATTCTGTAAATGAGTTTAATTTGAATACGACCTAAAATAAAGAAACAGTAAAAAAGTAAAAGTTGTTTAAAGTGCATTTTTAAAAATTAAATTAAATCATTATAACTTCTAAATAAATTAACTTGAAAAAAATAATATTAATTAAATTAAATCATTTACAATAATGCAAAGGAAAAGAGAAACACTTTTATTAATAGAGTTTTTAAAACTTAAGTAGATAGAAATTAAATATACCAGGAAGACATCAACCATTAAAAAAGCAACTAATAGTGATGTCAAAAACCGCCAAGATTTCTTTAATTAAACAATCATAAATCTTCATGTACGCACTCAGATACATCTATGAATACAATGTTAGGGAAACAAACTAAATTTATAGTTTAGTATATACTACAATAATTTAAGGCATTTGCATTTTTCGTTCGTAAAAACGAAACTGGCCCTTGTAGGACCATTTTACACAGGAATAACATAGTAACTTAGGAAGCCCAGTAATAACAATACTAACTTAAGTAGAAATTGGAAAAAAATCTGAAACCACTTTTTCAAAACACCAAGATGATTAATATAAAAAATTTGAAATACCAGATTATCAAAGATAATAAAATGATAAATAAACAAAGCTACCTTGTAACAAATATTAAAAGAATGATTAAAAATCAACAGGTGTATGGCAAAGTAGTGAAACAAGGATGGGGGGGGGGGAGGGATGAATCACAGAATGATTAGTGACCTCCCCACTTTAGTTAGGATAGGTTTGGTGGTACCTCTGGAACAAATGTAAACGAAAAATCACAAAATTAAGTATTGTTTTTTTGATTGAAAATTATTAATTAACTTAGGTATTGAACCTGCATTCTATAAAATCATGAAATATTTATTAAACTAAGTTAGAAAGATATGATCGAAATAAATTATTTACAATGTGTGGATTAATATAATCTCTTACAGTTGTAAAAAGTCAAATTTCAGAGTGTTTTCACTAGTTTAGCATACACCCGATGGCATACTTGTTTTATGAATAAAATATAAATGTGTCAAAACAAAATCAATAACATAACAACTCCAAAATTTAAGCAGCATATTCAATATTGAAAACTTGATCATTGAATGATTCTATGTGATGATGAATTTCAAAACTGGAATTGAAGCTGTCGTTTGGGAGGGGAACAGCAAGTATCTCTTGTACTTCTTCTTCGATTTTTATGTGCCTCTCAGCGGAATGTGGAGGTGTTGGGGGCCCACAATTGCGTATTGGAGTTGATGTTGCCCAGGTAGGAGAACTTAGCCACTGGAAGGTGTTGTTGCCAGAAGGCGGTGGCGATAAACAGCCAGCATGTCTTAGAACTGTGGGTCTATTCAAATTGGCCAGACTTTCTTGTTCTCGACTGGCTATCCTTAACCACCTAAAAAAAAAAACAACTTTCATAAATAGCTGAAACCAATCTATTTAAAAATTTGGATACAAAAAATCAACAATTAAATACACACAAAATAAAGCAAACCAGAAGTAAGACTATACATACATATTACTCTTGATCACATAATTACTTTTTCTTTCATAGTAAAAAAATTTTTTTTTTGAAATGCTCAGTGGTTGACCACCGTATATATTGAGGAAGGTGATGGTCCGGATCAGACGTGGTCATAAAAAAAACTTGAAGTAGTGTTATCTATTACAAGTTTTTTATAACACCACCTGAACTACCTATTTCCTTAAAAATTACTTTTAATTTATAGCCTATATCTTCTTTGAATTTGAACTTCAATGCTGAATAAATAATAACATAAACCAGCTGCTTATATACCATCAAATGAATTTACCTTTTCTTGGGTAATTCACGTTTACGGGGAGAATCGGGTGTGCCGAAAAGAGACTTTCGACTTGTTTGTCCCGGGGTCCTGTTTTCTCTATCAACATTTGTCATGTCGCTTAATGTTGGTGTCATATCCCTACGCGGCGAATCATTTCTCTTTTTATCTGAAGATCTTGCTTCTCGTCGTTCAGCACGATACCTTAAAAAAAAAATTACAATCTTGTAACTAACTATACGCAACAAAATCAATAACGAGAATATATATTGGTTAGAATGTATAATAAACTATAATATAAACTACAAATTATAATAAGTAAAAGATTAATGTCTAACTGTACTGGAAATTTGAGTTATTTAATTTTTAAAAATAAATAAACCATTATTTTTACTAAAATCATATTAAAAAAAAACAACAACTACGGTATGTCTAACTGTACTGGAAATTTGAGTTTAGTATATATACTTTTTTTATATATTCAGATATGGAATGAATTGTACGTCCATACGAATATCAACAGCATTCACAAACATAAGATATATTTATTAGTTACCTTTAAAATTTATGAATTTTTATTTGTATGCTATTTGTTCATTTTGAGGACGGGTTTGCCAGTGGGTAGAGGGATGTGCAGTGACGAAACATTTTTCTACAGATTCCCAACTCTTTTGTGTTCTCTATTCATTCGTACGTGCATGAATTTTTTTACTACTAGAAATTTCTTTTACCAATTTTTGTTACGCCAAATAAACTGGATAGATGGAAAACTATCCTTTCTTTTACCAAAAAACGTAACTATGAAACTATATAAATTCATGACAGGGTTTCGGAGAGGTGGAACTAGAGTTGGGGAAGGCTGCACAAGCTCCCTTTCTCTACAGGCAAACTCATTTTAGATACACTGACTTATTAAAGCACAACGAACTTAACTTAAAGAGAACCTAAATCCTACATCACTACAACTCATGAATGGTGTAGGGTTCAGTACTTTTTAATGAAGTTCTGTTTCTAAACCATTGTGCAGAAAGGTTATTAAAAAGAAATAACTCTCAACGACCAAGTTTACCACTTGATTATTTATACACTTTATAGAGGATGGGAGTACACAAGTAGGATTTCCCAGAGCCAATCAATGGTAAATGTAATACAATTAGTAATTATTGGCCACTCCTTGACTAAAAACTGAACATTGACTTAATGAGGTACTTCAATTCAACAATATGTTTATTTAAAAGATTTCTGTTTAAAAATACAACAAGTTAGAAATCATTTAAAAGCAAAGACAACCAAGAAACCAACTTTTTTATTATATATTTTTTGAAATAAATTCATGATAAAAAGCTACTTTCAAGAATTGAAGCTAAACATTAACAGGTCTAAATCAATCTAAATAGAAAGATGTCTTCCTGTATATTTTAATCTAAATCTAATGACTGAAACTGGTCACGGAAGAATATAAAATATACAGTAAAGAAATATTTTTAATTAAATATGTTGCTTGTGTAAAAATCATTTTATATCAAATATTTTAGTAGCAATGCTAAAATGCAACTCGTAGTAGAACTATACAATACAAACTACTGTATTCTAATAAAAGATTTAAACACATAAAAAAAAAAAAATGAGAACAAAATTAATTTGGAGGAAATGTAAGAAATAAAACACATTATAAATTAACATGTGTATTTTTAAAATTAACAATGGTGTAAAAAATTTGATGCTACACATAAAAATATATTTGTGTGTGATTATTCAAAAACTTAATTTTTGAAACATTGTAATAAGAAAACATTTTGTTACATGTGTTTGCCATGTAATTATGAATCAAGATTTAAAGCTAATAAGCCATATCTACAATATAAATATTGTTTCATTAAACTTAATGGTACACAAAACACTTGATAATATAATGCATAAAAGACCATCTACACTCAGGCAAATTGTTAAGGTTGTGACTGCATTATTTCTGGATCCAAATTAAGTTCATCAATAATGTATTGTGGCATACAATAGGTAGGATTAATTTTCAATAGATCTGATTCTCCTAAAAGTGAAAGAGCAGCGATCCCAAATAAAGTATGGAAGGGATCTGGCATATCTCCTGGTCGATCACTAAAACCTCCATCAGAATCTTGACTAGCAAGAATATATTTCTTCAAAAGCTGTTTATCAATCCAATGTAGTCTTCCTAACATAGTTAAAGATGATAACACCCACCAAGAATAACAAACATCTGGTAGCTTTTCTGGTCTTCCATTCAATCCACCTGAAGGCAGTTGGCGCTCACATAACCACCAACCTAGTTGATCGGCATCTATTCGATACAAATTCTGTGTGATTGACAAAACACCAACACAACAGTAGATTAATCCAGCATGACTTTCTGAATTTTGTTGGGAACCAAAGCCACCATCAAAGTTTTGACAGCTAAGCACAAAATCTACTGCTTTTTCAAGATTTATGGCATCTAAGCGGCCAATAAGAGACAGACAAGCAATAGCACAGAATGAAAATCTCGTATCGACTTCACCCCATTTGTCACCCATAAAACTACCATCTTCTTTTTGCAAACTGGCCACAAAACTTACAATCTTTTCTAAAGGAAGTAGGTCTAATGACCTTAAGATACAAGCTATTTGAACAGCACTTAAAGTATATAGAATATGAGGATCATGTCCAACACAAGCACCAATGCCACCTGTTTTCTCATCAGTACATTCAAGTATGAAGTCAATAAATTCTTTCTTGTCAACTTCATCCAGCTTTTTAGTAACTGCTAAAGTTGTTAGAATCCAGTACATACCAGACATTCTTAAGTGTTCAGTAGTGCAAAATTCGAATTCATCCTTATTTGCTCCATAAGCCAAAACGAATTTTATGTGTTTATCCAATAAAAGTTCATTTGGCATCTTATCATCAATTGTAACATCTTTTAACATGTTAGCCATTGTAAATTTTTTTTTATAACAGGTTTAAATACAACAAAAATTAATAATAACAATTATTTATATCAAATACAAATATATATTTCGAATAATGAATTAGAAAACGTTTCCGAAAATTAAATTCATTTTCTATGGGAGATAAATGACGCACATCTTCAAATACGCGCCATGCTTAAAACCTCCCTACTGTTATCAATAATCCAAAGAGGTAACCCTATATATTCTTGGAAAATACTTTTAGTTAACAGCGATGGATTAATCAAGTAAATAAAAAATATTTGTTTTAAATTAAAAGTGTAGCTTGAGGTTTGAAAGAAAAATAAAATCGCTTAGATTAGAGGACTAAAAAAGATGTAAAGAAACTATGCAATTATTATACTACTTAATTTTACAAATAATATAAAACTACTAGAGAAAAGAATTTTGAAAAACTGCACCTATTCATTTCCTGGAGAATGTTAATTGAGTTACATAAATAAATGCTAAAAGCAAAACTTATAGATTTTAGAGGTATAACTTTTTGGCTTACTATGGAAGGTTTATCACAGAATAGGGCACATATTTTAGTTATTATCCAACAATGTAATAACTTTATCATTGTCTAGATAATTTATTAGGTTGATATTAATATGGTAGCTTCCAAACTAAAACAAATTTCAAAACCTTTGTTCTTAATAAAACTAACAAGTTGATTCAAGTTCTTCAACTATATATAATAATTGGAAATTAAGTAAAGAAATTTATGTTAAACCCAGTTGGTAGTTAACAAAACAAAAGTTCATAAATTTAATTGTTTAAATAATAGTTAACCATTTGTATTGCCCAAAACTCAGGTGACAGCAGTAGTGAAGGGGGTTAGAGAATTATTGGAACAGTTATAGCACACCTAAATATGAAGACCCCTTCATGGTCTGGCATTATAAAAGCTTGGATATCTCTGAGTGATTAACCCATTTGCAAAACATGGCCAGATAAAGAAAAAACAAAAAAAGTCCGTTAGGTCTGGATATGTCTTAATTAGATCTTCTTGGCACACTTCATATTTATGTTTTCACATGATAAAAATTTGTATGGTCATCCTTCACATTAAATTATTCCTATACAACAATAATGAACATCAATAATTTTTCTCATAAATTCAGGAAATTTTCCTTTCTTATCAAAACCACCCACCACATTAACCAAATTCAGCTTTAGAAAATACAAACTGTTTTCTCACTTATTTTTATATCCATACCACTACTTGCAATGAGAAAAAAATGTGGAACTATGTAAGTGAAAAAATAAGACAACTTATAATATAATTTTTAAAAAAATTAGTTATCAGCAAAATATATACTTGTTTACCACCTGTAATCTGATTGTTACAAGAACGATAAATGTTGGAATAATTAAATAACTAAAACTCTGATCATCAATAATCCAGCAGGTATTCCACCAGAAAAATTTATTCTGACTTTGATTCAATCTAATTACTTTAACAAGTTTTTAACTGAAAGCCTTACTAGAAATCATGGATAGATTAAATCTTCAGATATGTTGATCTAATTGTTTTAGGAACCATTTTGAAGATCATTTAGTATTTTTTAACCAGGAAATTATGTTTAACCACTGATATAACCTATGTTTCAATAGAACTAATGTTACAGTGGAATCCCATAAACCAAAAGATAGTCTGAAAGTAACGAAAGTTGTAAATAATTTGCTAAAAAACAGCATCATCTGAGCATATGAGATTTAATGAATCATTAAATACCATGTTAGTTGAAGAGTGTGCATTGTAAATACGAATACAGATACAAATAACTAAAAGTAACCTTTTAAAGTATCAGAACATAAAAATGCAACTCACTTTAATAGCCATTGTTTTACTTCTTCAGACTGATTAGATTCAGAAGAATCAAGAAGTGCAAAGTCATCACATCTAATAAGTGTTGCATTTGGATGAGATGTGCAATGCCTGTTTGCATGGGTGAACCTACTGTTGCACCTAAAAAGAGAAAAACAAAATATATCATAAAACATACAACAATGTCTTGACAATTCAGACAGGTTGTTATCTACAATTATTTTTTAATTAAACTTTTTAAGGAAAAAAAATATTTAAAGGAACATACATTTCTCAGATAAAATTCCAAATAAAAATTTAACCAGTAAAAAAAGGTGAGAGCAAATACAAACTTGTTGGGATTACTATCACTTAAGGAAAATCTGGTACAGAGATTATAAGCTTTAATTGTATCTAAAAAGTACAGAAATGTTTCAAAGTACATATTGCGCATATGAATCATTCAGTGAAATAGAGCTAATACAATAACAAATTTAGAATAAACATTATTTCTTTACTACTAACAACATTAATTACAAGCAAAGTCCCAGACGAACTTGATTAAATTTTTAACATTGGATACAAAGTAATCAGATGAAATATCAATCCACCAGTCACTTAAGATTGTATTCCTACTTTTATACAAATTTAATTTATTCAGAGTGAAGTAAAATTGTTTTCCCAATAACTTCAAATCTGTAAATTATGCAAAATTATATGAAAATTAGACATAATTTTAAAATAACTTCAAATTTACAAAAAAACAGACCTAAACTCTAAACAAAAACAATGGGCTTGATTGAAATAATTAAATTTACTAGTTTGATCTTCTGCAAGAACTAATGGATTTAAACTTCTTAAACTTGGATGGCAAAGACAGTAGGTATGATACACAATTATTACGCTTTTCATCATCAATATACAATAATCCAATATGTATGATTACATTTGGACAATAACATTGAACAAAAACTAATATAAAAAAAGAAGAAAATTAGCAGCCATCTACAATCTAAATGTTCCTTATTATTTTTATTAAGTAATGTAAATAAGTAATTAAAAAATATATTTACCCTTCAGCAGAACAAAGGAATGGTCTTTCCCCAGTGTGTAGCCTTTGATGAGTCTTTAATTGACCACTTTGTTTAAATTTCCTCGTACAACCAGGATAATCACATGAATAGGGCCTTTCACCTAAAACATAAATAAATAACTGACTAGCATATTAAAGAGAAGAAAACACCTCCCCTTTAAAGATAAAACAGAAATAAAAAAAGAGAAAATTGGAATGAATAATATATTAAACAAAACTATATCTATTAAAATGAATGAATGAGTTGAATAATTACAACAAAAAAAATACATGTCAATATAATTGATTTTAAAATAAATAATAATACTCATACACAAATGTTTAAAAAGAACTTTCTCCCTTTAAATACTTTTAAAAACACAGTTTATGAAACTAAAATTGTGCTATAAATTAAAGCTGTTAAATAAAGTGGTAATCGAGGACATTTCACTTTAACCAAAACTATCGAGTAGATCAGTTTAAGAACAATTGATTGTAATACCTGGGAAAAATTATAACATAAGAGTTAAATAGTTTACAGTAAGCAATTAAAGGTATTTAAATGACATCCTTGGAAACTTACATAAATAATTAAAATTAAATTATTGGCTTTATCCACATTAAGTCCATTTAAAATGCAAAATTATTAAGTAATAAGGTGGCAATATAACAATTAATTAGAACAATAAGTCACCTGTGTGAACTCTTCTGTGAGCTTGAAGAGATTTGTCCCTGGGGAAAACTCTGGAACAAATGTCACATCTTATACCATTTTTTGAAATACTTCCTTCCAAGATAAGATTCGATATCATAGCTGCTTTCGGCCGGCCCCGACGACTTTCGGATTTATTAAAATTTTCTACTGGAGTACCTGGGTACATTTTGTCAGACGGTTCAATCTGCGGACTTAAAACAAAATCTAGACAACCCTCATACGACTCTTCCATTTCGACCATTTTAACCGCAACCCTAAGTGTAAAATTTAATTAAAATACATAATACAATTAAAAACCCCGGGGCTAAGACCAGCTTTCACAAACACTAAAATCTCTCACAACTACAATGTGGTTACATAGAAGCCCGCCAAAACTCATTTTACGCGGGACGTATTCAGTGTTGCAGGTAAAACAATAACAAAAGAAAATATTATCATTGACAACTTGAATTAGATAAAGTTGAATAATAAGGAGTAAATATTTCAGTTAACATATATTCATATTCATAAATAGAGTAATACCCCTAATTTTCGGCACCCTTTAAGAAACTTTAAGGACAAAAGGTTTATTTTCTTTTTAAAGGGACAAAAAGGGCCCTTATCAATCGCGTGGGTATTTGCTTAAACGATTTCGATTCGATTATAGCCCGAGTCCTAAAATCGACTTCATGGAACCTACGAAAGTGTAGGTTCTTCTGAATAAAACGAACTTTCTCTGCCATTCCAGAGCCACTGCTATCAAAAATGGCGGCTGATTTAAAGAATACTAGCCAAGTAGTTAGAGGATTGAAACGTGAAGTATGTGGGAAAGTTTTTATTTTTTTAACTTATGTATGTGGGTTTGAACATCAAAATCCTAAATTTCTAACTTAAGCAACTAAGGAAAACTTTTTACAGCCGAAAAAGCCGTATTCTTTCGATCCGTTTTTGTTTTTTCACATACAACTCCTAAACGGTGCACCGAAGCCAAAAATGTATTCTTGAAGAAATTAAAGAATGTTAAATTGTGCGTCGAACGATTATCTAAACTTAATAATTTAGTTAAGTCGTATGGTAGAAAACAACGGTCAACGAAGGCTGAGTTTCACTAAAGTTATCAAAAACTGAAACAAATTACTCTAAATGGTCATGTAGCTTGAAAATGAGTTAACTAAGAGGAAAAGCTCATAGGATCAAAGTTGTAGAAAATACAATTCTGCGTCCACTGAGTATCAACAGTTTTAATGTAGGTTACTTACACCGTACAAAATCTGTAATCCCCCGATGGCTTGGAATTGGTGATGAAGGTATGTTTGATTTTCAATATTTCAACAGTATGGGTGTTTATTCTACTGAGTTATTATTGTTTAAAGTCTGCTTTATGCATTATAGACCTATTTTCCTCCTCTCAGCAGCGAAGGATTTTGAGAAACGAAGTGTCAAAAGAAACCGATCTTCATGAAGAAATAACGAATCCCGATTCAAGAGATTTAATTGACCTACATTAAAATTGTTGGTACTCAGAAGAAGTAAACTTTCATGCTCTACAACTTTGGTTTTATGAGCTTTTCTTCTCAGGAAACTCATTTCCGAGCTACAGAGCCATTTAGAGTAATTTGTCTCAGTTTTTGACAAATTTGGAAAACTCAGCGTTTATTGGGTTTCCTACCATAAAACTTAACCAAATTATTAAATTTAGGTACTCGTTCGAGGCACAATTTAACATTCTTTAATTTGTTAAAGAGAACATTTTTCGCTTCGATGCACCGTTTAGGAGTTGTATGTGGACAACCAGAAAAAGGTCGAAAGATATGGTTTTTTTCCCTTTGGTTGCTCAAGTTAGAAATTTAGGATTTTATATGTTCAAACCCAAATACATAAGTTCAAAAAATCAAAACTTTTCTCACATATTTCTCGTTTCGACCCTCTAACTACTTGGCTAGTATTCTTTAAATCAGCCGCCATTTTTAAAAGGAGCGGCCCTAGAATGGCAGACAAGATTCATTATACTTAAAATGATACACACTTTCGTAATTTACATTCAAACCTTCGCCTGCGATGAGGTAGGTTTTTGGGCCCTAGATATTAAGTCAAACATCTTTAATTTCAAAATTATCCATGATACAACGTTTTAGTAATAGAATTTCACTTTTCCTCCCAGCAACTTTATTTATTCTTACTTCTATGTTTGAAAGAAACTTAGATAGATGGGTGATTATAAAATATGTATTATTTTGGCATGAAGTGCAATTAATGTGTTCTTTCTTTTCGACACAAATCACTGATATCATAAGTCACTTTGCTGTTAAGACTTTTGTTTTACAGAAAGGCGGGTTCTGTTATATCCTTTACATCCAGAAAAAAGTCTTTAAGTTAACAAAATATTTTTAATCTTTATCCACGGATTCCGAACGTAGTCTTAACTATCCCGTAACTGTAACTATCACTGGAATATGGGAACCAGCTTATCAATTTCTTTGGGAAAACATAAATGGTTAATAATTAAAAATGATTTACATCAAAGTTTATACATAAGTTAAGTGTATTTAGTACACACTTTTTGTATCCTAATAAGCTAAAGTTTTCTCCGTTTTCAGGAATTGTAATAAATATGCAACATCTCCGTTGAAAATCTGCTCGGAATTGTTACCTCTATATAATATTCTGTAATACTGTAGATATAAAACTTGTCTTTAATTTTGTACCTGGCAGCGGTGACGACTCACCCAGGAACTTGCTCGAAATGTTACTGTTTTTATCTCTATGGAATAAATATGTTTGAGCCTCTCTGAGTTTGGATTTCGAGCGCGGAGATTATTTGATTGACAGGAATGGAATTGGTAAGAAATATATACTTAATTTTGCTCTCACTTGTTTAATATAACAACACCACTCTGATATCTAAAATAATGGATAATGATTCGATAGTGAAATATAAATTTGAATTAGGAGATTACAGTGCTAGGACCATAGAATGCTTTTGATTAAAATCGAATAACTGATTCTTTATCCACCAATAAGTTACGGTTGCTAGGTAAGGAAAGAATTTTGTATGTGGAATATTCAACGGATTTCTCTCTTTGAGCCTCCAGTAGTTCAAAAAAACATATTGGCTATTGGTTTTTAAGTTTGTGGGGCCAAGAAATAGATAAACTGATTTTTTTAAAGTTAATATAGATCAGTGTCATGTCAGTTTGATTTAGGTCAGGGATTTATTGCTGGATTAATTTTTATTAATCTAATATTTAGGGCTTAGGTTGATCTTTAAGTTATGTTTTAACTTCTCATTGTCTTCTTCAGTTAATTAATTTAATTGAATTCTAAGCTTTATAATTATTTGTTCAGAAACAATAAAATTATGTTTGTTAAGATATTCATCATAATATCACCTAAATTTAAGTCAATAATTCAAAAGTTGAAGTCACAATTTTTCTCAGTCTAGGAAATATAATTATCATTATTTCTTGGGTCGTTATTAATGGGATATTAAAAATAATTGTTTGATTGATACAGTTATTTTACAATAAAATCATAAGCATTGGAAATCTATCAGCCAAAATGTGTTTTCTATAGATACATTTTCTGTTTACTTAACTACACTCAAAAATGTATTAATGATTTTGATGAAATAAGTAAATTCTTCTTCTTGAAGCCCTTTGAATCTTAATAAATATTTCATATCTGAGGGCAAAAAGGAAGATTTTTGGCACAACTCTAAAAGTATCCATTTCATGCAAATCATATACATAATTATTTGATAAACCATTAAACTTCTTTCAAAATGAAAAAAAAAACTTTTTAAGTTGGAACCAGTTTTTTTAGAGTAATTTTTAAACAGTAGGGTGAGCACACCAACTATGGACAGGGGTTCCCGTGATGGACAGTTTGGCCTTTAAATATAAATAATAAGCTTCCTTGGTTTACAGCTTCCAGTCCTTTTTCAGGATGAAGGGCAGTGCTTTCTTTTGACAATTATACGAAGAATTCCTCCAAAAGTAGGTTTGAAAAAAAACATCAGTGTTGTTTCTAAAGTGATATCAAGATTAGCGCGTTTGATAGCTTCCTACTAACCATATTGACAAGGATTAGTTCTAAATTTATGTTTATAGCTCTAATTTTTAGGATTATTACCATAGAAATGTACATTTCAGAAACTCAGGAATTTGATTTTTGCATTGAAATATCATACTAAAAAATAACATTTTCACGATTTTTGGGGGTGTCCATCACTAAGTCAAAAATTAGGCCCAAATCAGTTATGGACACCCTAGTCTATTCCTGGCTACCCATAACTTATGTAAAATTATCATATTTCTATGTATATTGAGTCTAAAAATATGAGAAATCAGATCTCTTGTTTTTTTCTAAAATGTCTCTAACCTATTGTTTATATAACAATGTAATAACTAATAGTTAATAGTTTTTAGATATTCTGGAGAGTGTCTAGACACCTGGAAATACCTGAGTATTAACATTTATGCCCACATATAAATGACAGGTGTCCTACGGTATATTTTATGCTTTCAGTATAATACATACAAAACAATTTTCTGAGGTAATTTATTTACATTCAGATTAAGCTTGTATAGGTTTATCTGAAACCTTTATCTGCCTTCAAGCATCCAATTGCAGGTTTAAAATAAAATGTAATTTAATTTTGTTAAGTGAATTACCCATTTTTTTTTATTTTTTTTTTATTTCTTGATGGAGTATCCTTTTAAATTATAGGATTATTGGTCATAAAGTAAACAAGTAGTTGGTTTAAAGTACAAGGATTGAAAATTGGTTGTCTACTTATACTTTTGGGTTGCTTGGTTATCCCACTTACAGTGTGTTCAAAGTGATCTTGACACCAGCCACCATCTTGGAATATTGATTTGGTACTAGTACTCAAACGAACACATGTAGATGGGCTATGAAATTGATAAATTTCAGATGGTCCTATTGCAGGTTATGAAGATAACTTGTCCTAATGGTTGTGACGGCTCCAGGTTATATGGAATCATCGGCGAAAGAAATATCAGTTTCCTTAAATTTTGAGTTCCTCCGTTATCCACTAATCACAAGCTTGACTAATGTACCTTCTGTTTAAACTGAAATTAGTGACTATATGGACAAATGTCAAAGTGAGTACTGAATCTCGAGTATTTTACTCTACTATTGACTTTTCAATTCTGATTACGGTACTGAGATATTCAACTTGCCCGAATCTGAGTGTTTTACTCAAATGTGAACTGTCCAACTTTGAGTATTTTACTCATAGCTGACCTGCGCCAGTATGAGTACTTTACTCACGGCCTATTATAAATTATTGTTTTAAGTATCATATGCCTACAGTTAAATTTATAAATTATATTAATTGGTGTGCCATTGTTCTAATTACTTAAAT